GTTGGGGTTGTGTTTGAGCTTTGGGTTTGGTGTTGTTGAGTTGGGGTTGGGGTTACGTTTGGTGTTGGTGTTGGGTTTGGGATTGGGATTTGGGTTGGATTTGGGGTTGGGTTTGGGGGTTGGGATTTGGGTTGGATTTGGGGTTGGGGTTGGGTTTGGGGGTGGGATTGGGATTTGGGTTGGATTTGGGTTTGGGTTGGATTTGGGGTTGGGTTTGGGGGTTGGGATTGGGATTTGAGGTTGGGGTTGCGATTTGGGGTTGGGGTTGGATTTGGGTTTGGGATTTGGGTAGGGGTTCAGATTTGGGTTGGATTTGGGGTTGGGATTGGGATTTGGGGTTGTGGTGTTGACTTGGGTTAGATTTAGGGTTGGGATTGGGATTTGGGGTTGCGGTTGGATTTGTGTTGGATTTGGGGTTGGGATTGGGATTTTGGGTTTTGTTGATTTGGATTGGATTTGGGGTTGGGATTGGGACTTTGGTTGTGGTTGGAATTTGTGTTGGATTTGGGTTGTGCTTGGGATTTGTGCTGGATTTTGGGTTGGGATTTGTGTTGTGGTTGGGATTTGGGTTGGATTTGGGGTTGTGGTATGGATTTGGATTGTGTTTGGGATTTGTGCTGGATTTAGGGTTGGGGTTTGGTTGTGGATGGGATTTGGGTTGGATTTGGGGTTGTGGTGTGGACTTGGGATTGTGGTTGGGATTTGTGTTGGATTTGAGGTTGTGGTTGGGATTTGTGTTGTGTTTGGGATTTGGGTTGTTTGGGATTTGGGTTGGATGTGGGGATGTGATTTGGGTTGTGGTTGGGATTTGGATTGGATTTGGGGTTGTGATTTCAGTTGTGGTTGGGATTTGGGGTTGTGGTTGGGATTTGGGTTGTGGTGTGGATTTGGTTTGAATTTGGGATTGGTGTTGGATTTGGGGCTGTGGTTGGGATTTGGGGTTGTGATTTGGGTTGTGGTTGGGATTTGGGGTTGTGGTGGCATTTGGGATTGGCGTTGGATTTGGGGTTGGGATTTGGGTTGTGGTGTGTATTTGTGTTGGATTTGGGATTGGTGTTGGATTTGGGGCTGTGGTGTTGATTTATGTTGGATTTGGGATTGGTGCTGTGTTTGGGATTGGTGTTGGATTTGGGATTGGTATTGTGTTTGGGATTGGCATTGGATTTGGGATTTGTGTTGGATTTGGGACTGGTGTTGGGTTTGGGATTGGTGTTGGGTATGGGATTGGTGTTGGGTTTGCGATTGGTGCTGTGTTTGGGATTGGTGTTGGGTTTGGGATTTGTGTTGTGTTTGGGATTGGAGTTGTGTTTGGGATTGGTGTTGGCTTTGGGGCTGTGGTGAAGATTTGGTGTTGTTTTTGGGATTGGTGTTGGATTTGGGATTGGCGTTGTGTTTGGGGTTGGCGTTGCATTTGGGATTGGCGTTGTGTTTGGGATTGGTGTTGTGTTTGGGACTTGGGTTGGATTTGGGGTTGGCGTTGTGTTTGGGGTTGGTGTTGTGTTTGGGGTTGGCGTTGGATTTGGGATTGGTGTTGTGTTTGGGATTGGTGTTGGCTTTGGGTTGTGGTTGTGATTTGTGTTGTGTTTGGGCTTGGTGTTGGATTTGGGGTTGGCATTGTGTTTGGGATTGGCGTTGGGTTTGGGATTGGTGTTGTCTTTGGGTTGTGGTTGTGATTTGGGTTGTGTTTGGGGTTGGTGTTGGGTTTGGGATTGGCGTTGGATTTGGGATTGGTGTTGTGTTTGGGGTTGGCATTGTGTTTGGGGTTGGTGTTGGGTTTGGGGTTGGCGTTGTGTTTGGGATTGGTGTTGTGTTTGGGATTTGTGTTGGATTTGGGATTTGGGTTGGATTTGGGGTTGGTGTTGGGTTTGGGATTAGTGTTGTGTTTGGGATTGTTGTTGTGTTTGGGATTGGCGTTGTGTTTGGGGCTGTGGTTGGGATTGGTGCTGTGTTTGGGGTTGGCGTTGGATTTGGGATTGGTGTTGGCTTTGGGGTTGGCGTTGGGATTTGGCTTTGGGGTTGGCGTTGTGTTTGGGATTTGGGTTGGATTTGGGATTGGTGTTGGCTTTGGCGTTGGATTTAAGATTTGGGTTGGATTGGGGGTTGGAGTTGTGTTTGGGATTGGCATTGGATTTAGGATTTGGGTTGGCTTTGGGGTTGGCGTTGTGTTTGGGATCGGGGTTGGCTTTGGGGTTGGTGTTGGGATTTGGCTTTCGGGGTTGGCATTGTGTTTGGGGTTGGCGTTGTGTTTGGGATCGGTGTTGGCTTTGGGGTTGGTGTTGTGTTTGGGATCCGGGTTGGCTTTGGGGTTGGCTTTGGGGTTGGCGTTGGGATTTGGCTTTGGGATTGGTGTTGTGTTTGGGATCGGGGTTGGCTTTGGGGTTGGCGTTGTGTTTGGGGTTGGCGTTGTGTTTGGGATCGGGGTTGGCTTTGGGGTTGGCTTTGGGGTTGGCGTTGGGATTTGGCTTTGGGGTTGGCTTTGGGGTTGGCGCTGTGTTTGGGATTGGGGTTGGCTTTGGGGTTGGCGTTGTGTTTGGGATTTGGGTTGGCTTTGGGGTTGGCGTTGTGTTTGGGATCGGGGTTGGCTTTGGGGTTGGCGTTGGGATTTGGCTGTGGGGTTGGCGTTGGGATTTGGCTTTGGGGTTGGCGTTGGGATTTGGCTGTGGGGTTGGTGTTGGGATTTGGCTGTGGGGTTGGCTTTGGGGCTGGCGCTGTGTTTGGGATTGGGGTTGGCTTTGGGATTTGGCTGTGGGGTTGGCGTTGGGATTTGGCTGTGGGGTTGGCGTTGGGATTTGGCTGTGGGGTTGGCTGTGGGGCTGGCTGTGGGGCTGGCGCTGTGTTTGGGATTTGGGTTGGCTGTGGGGCTGGCTGTGGGGCTGGCGCTGTGTTCGGGGCCCCGCGCTGACGCCGCTGGCCCCGTGCCCGCAGGTGGCGGCGCAGCAGCAGGAGTCGGCCACCACGCAGAAGGCGGAGCGCGAGGTGTCGCGGATGGTGGTGGTGATGGTGGGCTCCTTCTGCCTGTGCTACGTGCCCTACGCCGCGCTGGCCATGTACATGGTCAACAACCGCGACCACGGCCTCGACCTGCGCCTCGTCACCATCCCCGCCTTCTTCTCCAAGAGCGCCTGCGTCTACAACCCCATCATCTACTGCTTCATGAACAAGCAGGTGGGGGGG